CTGGTTGTGTTACGAAAATTTAAGTGAACACAATAATGGCTATGGATTTAGTCTGAGGAGAGGGGATTTGGTGGAGGCGAGGAGGTGAATTAGGGGATTGGGGAAGAGAGAGGGAGAAAATCAATATACTTCGTAGAGAATTGTCTTTCCTTTGTTTGCTAAGCCTGTTTTTACCACGGGCTGTCCTTGAACACACCAACCTCTGTTCCACACTGCTAGATCTATACACGGTACTTTAGCGACTGTCTACTACACGGCGCATTGCTTACCTCACCCCCCCCCCCCCGCGCGCCTAAGGGTGGGTGTGTAGCCAGCAGACATCAAATATTCGACTATCTTCCACTAATTTGGTCAGAAAAATACACAATTATTTGAAGAATACGTCATGTGACATCTATATTGACGTGCGCCGTATTACAGAAGTTGAAATCAGCCTTTGAAGAAATAATTTTAACGACAGTGTTATGAAGCGAGGAAGTTAATCTTCTTCAGTTGCCCTCTGATCTAACAACATGTGTTGTTTTATTGTATACGCTGGATTGAACACATTCCCACATAAGACCTTACATTCCCTCACATTCCCTCTCTTTCTCTCGTTGTTGAATATACTGTGGTTGTATGTGGTTGTATTGTCAAAGCAACTGTGGTAGTTCTGTGCTTGCGCGGTAAAATAATATGTGGTTATCAGTGGCTGTGTCGTCGAATCATTTATGGTTTGTATGTGGTTGTGTCTCTAGACCAAATGTGGTTTGTATGTGGTTGTGTAGCTAGACCAAATGTGGTTTGTATGTGGTTATGTCTCTAGAACAATTGTATGTGGTTGTGTCTTTAGACCAAATGTGTTTTGTATGTGGCTGTGTTTAAAGACCAAATGTATGTGGTTGTGTCTTTAGACCAAATGTGGTTTGTATTTGGTCGTAATGTAAGAGAAAATCTGATCAACTCCAAAGCGACTAAAGTATGTGTGTGTGTGATGGAGGGTGAGTGGTAAAATATGTAATGTATGTGGGGGAAGTTAATCCTTTAATGCGTCTGTATTGGGGTTGGGGGTTGGGTGGGTAAAGCCTTTTATGTTTATATTGATGAATAAATCAGTTACCGAATCATTGTTGGAATTTCACAATAAAAATATGTTGATTTATGACCATAACTTCAATTGAACTTAATTATCTCTAACCACGCCCACAATCCAGCGTGTCGTCTACCCACCCCTACAGTTTAATCTGCAGTCTACCCACCCCCACACTTTAATCTGCAGTCTACCCACCCCTACACTTTAATCTGCAGTCTACCCACCCCTACAGTTTAACTTACCGTCTACCCACCCCTACAGTTTAATCTGCAGTCTACCCACCCCTACACTTTAATCTGCAGTCTACCCACCCCTACAGTTTAACTTACCGTCTACCCACCCCTACACTTTAATCTGCAGTCTACCCACCCCTACACTTTAATCTGCAGTCTACCCACCCCTACAGTTTAATCTGCAGTCTACACACCCCTACACTTTAATCTGCAGTCTACCCACCCCTACACTTTAATCTGCAGTCTACCCCCCCCCCTACACTTTAATCTGCAATCTACCCACCCCAATAGTTTGCTCTGAAGTCTACCCACCCCAATTATTTAATCTGCAGTCTACCCACCTCTAGAGTTTTACTTACAAACTCTACTCAAAGTTGGAATCTATTTTTAAAATCGGCCTGTTTAAAAATAAAAAAATAAAAACCTCACTCCCAAAATAAAATTAACATTTTTTCTATGTAAATAAATCCGTAAAGAAATGCGGTGTTTATTTAAAGTTTCTAATTAAATGATGCAAACATTTATATGTATAAACACACGTTTGATTATACGGCTTGAGAACAAATACTTTAGTTTCATATTACGACTTCTATGTGAAAAGTTAAATGCAATATAAATCGAAATTTTATGTCTGCTATAAGTTTTTCATACTTTCTTTCTTTTTTACTTTTTCGTATGCGAAGTATAGAGGAAGTATTGTAATCGTGCAAAATCGAAATCCAGATTTTCATCACAAATCTCTACGTTTTACACCTCCCTGAGTAGAAAAAAAGTTTTGCAATTTTATACGTATGTCTGTGTGTATGTGTATACTTGGTGCGCAATTATTTACGCAAAGTGCTCACAGTCTATCCCGGAGCGCCAAATTCAACCCTGCCGGGGCGCTGGCGGACGCGCCTGTTTCAATTTTAATACCCCAAGCTTATCCGCAAACGAAAAGAAGCAAACATATTGGACATTTAGGACCTGGCATATTGTTTTTTATTTTAAAAATATTAGTAAACAGTATAGAATAAATAAAAGGCAGTATTAAAAATATCTACAACGTTGCACTTGATCAATCCACGCTAATTTTTTCACCAGACACCAAAAACAATGTAACTAAAAGTAAATTTTTCCCGCAATGAAAGTTTTCTTGTAAAGGGAAGTAATTGTGTTTTCTTAATTTATCAAGGGACGTTATAAGTACCTTTGTTTTTCATGTTTTTTTTTTCGCTTTGATAAATAAAGCGGGAGTGATCTCGCTTAAACTTTCTGATCAATATTCAGATGAATATATTTATATAACATTACGGGGGATGGCAACTAGGAATACAGACATGATTTTTAATTACTTAAACTTTTCAAAATAGAATAGAATCTCGTAGAACAAAAATAATTGCGCATCAAGTGAACAACAAAAAATATGTGTATAACAGTGCGGAATATTAGTATTTTGAGAAATCGCAAAAAGCGTAAAGTAGATTTTTCTTCCGGTTAACGAAATTAACTCACAATTTTTTTAAGGGAGGTGAATTAGACCTTTTCTTATATGTGAAATTTTGTTCATCTATATGAAACTGTACTCTAGTTATAGGCGTTTGAAAAAAAAAAGAGAATAAGTTCCACTTCCGGTTACCGGAAATAGCTGAAAAGTTGATACAGAACTAAAAATATAATATGAAATTACATCAACCTAGCTGTAACGGTACTCAAGTTGTCGTGTTCACTCATATAGGGGCCTACATATACACATACACACAGACATACGTATAAAATTGAAAAACTACGTTTTTCTTCTCAGGGAGGTGTAAAACGTATAGATTTGTAATGAAAATCTCGATTTTGATTTTGCACGATTACAATACTTCCTCTATACGTCGCGTATAATATTTCCGTTCTTTTTCAAACTAATTTTTACTTTCTCGAATATACGAAGTTTAGAGAAAGTCTTGTAATCGTGCAAAAAAAAAAAAACAACAAATAATCGAGATTTTTACAAATCTCGACGTTTTACACCTCACTGATACGGAAAAACATAATTTTGCAATCTTGTCCGTATGTCTGTGTGTCTGTGTGTCTGTGTGTCTGTCTGTCTGTCTGTCTGTCTGTCTGTCTGTCTGTCTGTCTGTCTGTCTGTCTGTCTGTCTGTCTGTCTGTCTGTCTGTCTGTCTGTCTGTCTGTCTGTCTGTCTGTCTGTCTGTCTGTCTGTCTGTCTGTCTGTCTGTCTGTCTGTCTGTCTGTCTGTCTCTCTGTCCGTGTGTAAACACGATAACTTGAGTACCGTTACAGCTAGGTTGATGAAATTTCATATATAAATATTTTATCAAAATCGTAGATCCGTATTAACTTTTGAGCGATTTCCGACAACCGGAAGTGGTACTTTTCCTACTTTGAATTTTTCAAAAGCCTATAACTTGAGTACTATTTCAGATAGATAAATGAAATTTCACATGTTAGTCAAAGATCTAATTCTCTACCATCTGTTAAATTTTGAGTAATTTCCGTTGACTGGAAGTAGTACTTTACGCTACTTCCGATTTCTCAAAAAACTAATGTAAATTTTAAAAGTACTAATAATAATGCGCACTATTATGCGCTTTTTTATTTGGCGTTAACTTGGTGTGTAATTCTTTTGTCTACGAGATTTTATTCTATTTTTAAAACTTTAAGTATTTAAAATGGATTAAAAATCATGTCTATAGCCCGAGTTCCCATCCCCTGTTATTTTATATAAGAATATTCGAGAAAGTTTAGGGGAGATCACTCCCGGTTTATTTTTATTTATTTTTGACGAGAACATTGTATACATTTGATAGCGCTCGTGTTAAAAAGTAGATCTATAGATTTAAATCAGATTGGAATGAAATGGCTTAGTTCTTCATATTCTGAAATTGGAAGATGTGGTGAGCCAATATTATTTAAGATGACGTCATTAATAATGTGTATCATTTTAGATATTCTATTTTTATTTTATTTTTATCTTAAAATCAATGAAGCCCTTAGTGTTGTGTACTTTCCGTAGTTTAAACATTTGACTTTTGATGTATTGTTTTTTGTTACTTGTACCTTTTATAGAGCGTTCTTGCCACAACCATGAACACTTGTCTGGTTGCATAACACATTAGAATATGCTTTTTGTTTTTATTTTCCTTCTTTAAATAAAATTTAGTTTATACATTTAATATGTTATTTTCTACAAAAGAGTGTTTAATTAAGTACTCTATATATCGTTGAAGATACTGATCTCGTAGCCTCGGAAAATATTTTGCAAACAGAGAAAGAGATGTACGCGCATGGGCTTTTATATGTTAAGATGTTTGATCCCATAGTCGACTTATTTTGTAGCTAGTAGAAATGATGTTGTTGGACATGTAGGTGACTCAGCCTAACATGTAAGAATGCAGTGCATCCGATTCAATGATCCGTTATTTTTTTTTTTGTTTATATTTTTAAATTTTCAAAAAGATATTTTAAAAGAAAAAGAAATATTATTTAAAACCATGTAAGGTGAATTCAAAAACTTAAAAGAACGTGAATTTTTATAATTTCTTTATTCCTGTATTTATTTCTGTGTTTATTTCTAAACTGACAATTTCAAGTTGTAATTTTTAGTTAATATAGTACTTATCTAAACAGCCCTTACGTTGCCTAAGTTTCTAAGTATAATAAAAGAAAATGTCAATCTTGTCTGACATGTATGTGGCGACACTTGTTTAGTTACAACGGTCACCGGAACAGAAACAGACATCTTTGCCCAGGTAAGTCACACACCCAGACGGTTGAATAACGGTCGATGGGAACTTCCCGTCTGAACAGCCACGCACAACATCTGTAAAGTGAAATGGTGTCATGGAATAAGTATTTACTAAGTCATTGTACGAACTGGCAAGTAAAGGGAATTGAAGAAGTTACCGTCGCGAGGCAAGCGTTGGGCTGCTGGAACCCCTTGGGGGAAAAAGTAGGCCAATATAAGCAATCCTTGAAACGGAATGTGTAAAGAGAAGCAAGGGCTGCTGGGTTTACGTGGGCTCAACTTTAGAGAGATGCCTTAAGCCGACTCCCGTGTAGATGTGTAGCTGCAGAACTTTTGCTTCTTAGAGGCATTGAAGGAATATCTTAAATAAGTCTAGTACAACTTTCTACAGTAATTGTTGACAGGGAATCTATTTACTAGCTAGATGTAGTACAACCTTATTGTTGTTGTGGTGTTAGAGAGCTAAATGTCGTGTGTACATTATCCCCCACCCCCCTGGTCAACCATATCCCCATGGCTATCATTACCCTAACACCTTTACGGTTAACTACCCCCACCCCTGTTGGGAATGCACATTATCTGTATACCTAACCTTTTTCATCTCCAGTTCTCTATCGCTAGCTTAAACCATAAACATTACCGTAATCGTAACTCAAACAACTCTATGTCCATTTCACTAGTATTGCCCTTATTATACTTTCATCCAGGGGCGTAGCGAGGGGGGGGGGGCGGGGGTGCGGACCGCACCGGATGACACCATTTAGGGGGGGTGACACCAAGGCAAAAAATAGCAAAATATATAGAGAAAAAGTTGAGGGGGGTGTAAATCGAAAGTTTGAGGGGGGGGTGCAAATCGAAAGTTTGAGAGGGGGGGGTGCAAATCGAAAACTTGACAGTTTGTCCCCGGAAAGGGTCGCTACGCCTCTGTGGGGGGGGGGGGGTGACACCATCAAGTGCCGCATCGGGTGACACCCGACCTCGCAACGCCACTGCTTAACCGTTGCTTATTATTACATCTTCCTTTACTATCTTCCTCTCAAAAGTAAATATGCAAATCATATAAGTCACTTACGAGTTCCTTGAGCCGTCTGGGTTGTGGTTTTCACACAAGGGCCGTTACAACTGACCACCTTAGTTCTGTTCCAGCCAGTAGTATCCCCATCGGCGGGGCAGGCGTGGCATCTGGCTGTACCGAGGCCACTCTGGCATTTGTAGCAGAGACGGGTTGATGGTGTGGTCGGTGCTGTCGTGGTTGTGGTCCCATCTGGTGCTGTTGTGGTTGTATCGACCACTGACGTATCTGGTAGGAAAAAATAAAACAGTAGTAAAACGTTTTTAATTCTTTAGTCTTTGATAGCATTTTTTTAAACTTTAGTGTGCTCATATACACATGATATTATTGAGTAACGCTAAGACAATGACACAAACAGTTTTACACCAACAAATATAATTTTAAATTCTACAAGGGTAAGTACACTTGTTATTAATAATTAAAAGCTTCCAAACTTTTGAAAATTATAAAACAAATGGCTAAATCAGACTCGTCTGTATACCCTAATATCTTACACGAACCCCTTGAGCATTATTATAAAGATGTATATATACATGTATGGCAAATCGGGTGGTCATGATTCATTGTCCAGTATAGAAATCTAAATGCGTGCACCGATTCAATTGATTGTCGCCACAGTTAAGGATTAAAAGAAAAGTAAGGTCTTCGCGCACTTTCTTGCTAAAAAAATGAAAATTCAAATTGTTTCGATTTTTAAAATATTCCTTTATTCCAAATAGGCGGTCTTATTTCCTCCATTTTTAATAATTTAAATATTTTGCGCCAGTGCAATTAAGTGTCTTAATTATAGACTTTTGTATTTAACTATTGAGTATTTATTTATTTTCGGAAATAGAAATGGGGTTGAGGATATAAAGAGATTATTAGATATTTTATTAAAAGCCACTGCGCACATAATGAACATGAAAACGCGCGTAGTAGAAGTAGCTGAACAGCAAACTAATTTGGACACAATTTTTAATATCAGATTGCATTATCTTTATGTCTTGACCCACGTGCCAACATTGAACCGAATATGTCAGTTAAAAGTGCTCAAAATTTCGCTCGAGCGTATCGATCTATGACGACAGACAGATAGACTGTCGACAGACAGAGGAAGCTAGTTTATTAAAAGCTTGTAAAAATTGTGCTATTATAATAAATCTGGTTTTACTTTTAATGTTTTAAAAATACTATTTGTTTAGCTGCATTGTTTTTATTTTTTTACTTCTTTTTGCAATCATGAATATAATTTTAGAAAGTTTCTTATGATGACTTAAGTTGGGTTAGTGTTACTTTATTTTACAATTGGATTATTTTATTGTTAAAGTAGAGTTAATGTAGTTTGATTGGGTGTTGTACTAAGTTTGGATTAAGAGAAGGGGAAGTGTTCTTAATTAAACTTCGAAATTATTACAAATGTACTTTGTTAATTATATTGTTCCACTAAATTTTGTGAGGAATTATTATTTTTGTGGCAATTATACAATTGTACAGGTTGGTGTATTTGCTATGCACGTTAGTTACTTAAGTAAATGTGAGCATTAGCTTTTCATTGGTGGCACAAAGTCGAACGTTTGCTCTGGGTGAAATACAATAAAGCTATTCAGGTGATGTACTAGAGTTAAGCATCATGATTAAGTACATTAAGTAGATTAAAAATCAATATCAAGCAGACAAAGCATCATGATCAAATAGACTGAGCATCATGATCAAGTAGATTAAGCATCCTTATCAAGTAGACAAAGTATTAGAACAAGTAGACAAACCATCAAATCCTAGTAGATTTAGAATCATGACCAAATAGATTAAGCATTAAAATAAAGTACACAAAGAATCTTGATCTATAGATAATTCATCATAACCAACCAAACTAATCATCAAGATAATGTAGACAAAGCATTGGGATCGAGTAGGCATTATGATATTCGTCTTGGACTTAAGCATCATGAAGTAGACTCAGCATCATACTCACCCACAGCATTTGTTGTCGTTGCGGCGTCAGTTGTGGGTGGGGCGCAGTAATATCTGTCATAGCGTTCCATTATGCCCTCAGCATATTCAACGTATTGGTTAACATCACCGGTCGTGCAGGCATCATCGGCAGTACCAATCAAGCAATCTTTGATCATGAAAGATAACCTGAAATATTAAAACATTGCGAGTTTATTCGATTAGGTATTATGATTATAAATTACCTTGCAATAGTTTGGTGTTTATAAAAGTGGAAAAAAGCACTAATATATAGCTAGGACAGTGTATATAATTATATTTTTACTTTTCCTGTATTTGGAACTTATTAATTACTTTTAGCATAATTATTAATTAAAAAGCCCATTTCATTCGTTTTTATTGTGTAAAAGCAATATTTGCTTCGTCCAATTCACTGCATCTGATTGTGTGGCTAATAGTCCAAAATGTAGTTTGGTATGCAACGTCGATTTACATAACTTTTTAAAATAGCTACCAGAATATCATTTTTAAAGCCAACCTTTATTAACTTATTAATTAGATTTTGTTAAAATGATTTAACAGAAATACACAAAAGGATATAACAGAAGTACTTGCACCACTAAATTATAAAATATATATACTTACAACATAGATAAACATGCAATTAACTGTAATAACAGGAATACTTGAACACAATGATAAGCCAGATAGGGTTACAAAAATAGTGTAACAAGTGTACTTACAAACAGGGTGGAGGACCAGTTAGAGTAAAACACGTCGAAAAATCAGATTTCACCTCAGCCTCCTGGCCACTTCCAGCGCACTGCAGGAACTGTAAACCATCTGAAATAGCAGTAACGTCGACTTCGTATGTGACTTACTATTTGATGTATATCGTGGTTTAAATTGTAATATAATCTCTGAATTACAATATTTGATACAATATAGGATATACTCTTTAATTTACTTAAAGACGGACAACAAAGAAATTTGAGTCGAGTTTTTAGATTTAAATCTGTGATTTACGTTGCCAACGTTAAGACTTTATTGTAATAATCTGGCTAACCACATTGTCTATAACACACAACCACAACCCAAAATCAAGCTATTTCAAGTTAAGTTTAGTTTTGTTTTTTGTTTCATTATATTTTTTGTAAACAATACAGCTCTACTACGAGTCTAAAGTAAAATTCCCCTTTCAAAACTGGCGGGCCAAGTGAATTAGAGTTCACCTGCTTCTGTGACCTCGGCATATGAAGAGAAAGTGCGGTCAGCACTCTGCCCAGCCGCTTTTACTTGTACCTATCAGAGCTGGGTGGACTCAGTGATATTCTATTACTAGTCTGTGTTGATTTTTTTAAAACATAGGAGAATGATTCTCCATCTCTGCTTGTCACTTACTTATGAATCTTTCCATTGAGCAAAAGTATTCCAGAATGTTAGCTATGATGAGGTACGGCTCCCAGACTGGTCCTCTAGGGCAGTTGTCTAGAACTTGAACCACGCAGGCGGCTTTCCTGGAACAAAAAGTCACGATGTAAGTAAATATGACGTAGCTATTCAGAATTGATTAGCACTCACATCCAAGGAGTACTGGTTACCTACAAGTAACAGTAACAAGGATTAAAAATCATTTAACTATCTATATTTTCTACTACACAAATCATTGTTAGCCACACTTTGAACTGACGCTCAGTATCTTAATATCCCGATAACTCACTAAAAAGTAAATTGACAATCAATAAAAAAAATGATACAGATCGACTGAAGTCAGCCTATATATATTTACCTTGAGATATATTGTCTGATATATTTAGTTTGTCATTGAGATCATTTTTGTCCGTATCATTTTCCCTGATATACTTTTTTTCTGAGATCTTTTGTTTCTGAGATCATTTATCTTCGGAGTATTTTGTCTATGGTATTTTGTCTGAGATCGTATGTCATGGAACCTCTTCTTCTTCTTCTTCGTTCTTAATTACTAGTGTTGAAGGGGGTCGAGATTTATCTGCCAGTGGGTTTGAACTCAAGACTTTGTTCGAATTTATCAACCATGAGCTTTTTGCCGACTCGACCACGCCTCCGACACAATTAAGCGTTACGTGTCAACTGGTTATGCGCCATTGAGGCCATTGACTCCGATTTCAGCCTGCTTTTCTTTTTGGATTTGCTTCCATAGCCTTTGTCCAACCAAGAACAAACTACAAGGCAGCAGTTTTTTAATTTTGGAGTTGTCTCTCCTAGAAGAGTGGCTGTCCCCAGCTAACGAGCCTCATCTGCCCGAGGGTTCGAACTCGAGATTTTACGGTTTAGCAACCATGAGCTATACCGACTCGACCACGCCGACCCCTGTCATGGAACCAATTACGCACTTTTAATGTAATTTTTAAAAATATGAATACATCAACGTACTCGCATACTGATGACCATAACAACGTTGCGTTATCATTTATGTAGGTAAAGTCATCGAACTGGTGGAACTCACTCCAAAATTGAGCCACGCAGGCATCAGCGGCCGCAGTTTCTGGGCAGTTGCCTGTTGAAGCAGATAGAGACAAATAACACGCCATTAGGCAAACCAGAGACACAGCTAAAGAGTGTTAATATTAGTGGCTGTTGTAACAAGAACAGGCGCTTTAACGCATTATGATTAAATGAGGCAGCACCATTAAGTATTATAATTCATACAAAAAAACTACTATAAGAAAAAGCAAAATCCTTTTCTATAGTTAATGAGCTTGTGATTGGGTTAACGTTTCTGTTTTCGTTTGTGTTTTTGTGTTTGCGATTGTGTTTGTGTTTGGTTTTGGTTTTGTTTTAGCCATTGTGTTTGCAAATAGTTTGTGTTTCTTTAGCGTTTGCATTTTTGTTTGTGTTTGTGTTTATGTTTTTGTTTTTGTTTTGGTTGCTTTGTCGTTTTGAAAATGTATTGTATGTTCAAGTAACTTCAAGATCATGTGAAGTTTCGTTTTTCGTTTGACAGTGAAAGTTTTTACTTTCCTTGTGTTTTCACTATAGTGTTCCCGACAGAGAGAAAGGCAGACAGACAGACAGAATAGAGTAACTATTGTTATGACGAGATAAATGGCCGCTGACGGAGAAATACAAAACCAAAATCACCACCTCAACTTCAAATTTAACCTAAACGAACGGTATCATTAAATTCGGATTTTTATCCAGAATCGGTGCGTAGTTACTGTACATTCATACTAAATATAGTCGTAGTCATACCCCTCAACCTTGCGCCTAAGCTCAAACTTGACAAAAGTTGTTTTTAGAGTTTATTTCAGACAACTCTTCGTGGGCGGCACCCCCCGTAGAAAGTCTACCTCCCCTATAACGACATATAATTTATATAGAAAATAAACTTTTGCTGGTATCGGCTCCATCTCCAGAAAATTTGGTCGAACACCAACCCAGAAAATTTCAAGTGCCCCGCCACCCTCGAGGGTGAAAAATGTCTGAAAGAAACAATGGTCGCATTTGTAAATCATACATATTAAAGGTAGTGCCTACTTCTATATACAAAACCCGTTTTCTGCTTTTTGCCGCTAAACCCCAATCATGCAGATAGTGTTTCTTTCAAACATTTTTCTCCGGGGAGGAGGGGTACTATACATTTTCTTTTTTTTTGGGGGGGGGGGGGGATGAGGGGGGAGAGCGGTAGATGGGGTACTGCGACAGGTAAAAATATATATTTTATATATACATTTTATTCCGTTCGGGGGGGGGGGTATATGTTTTTCGGCGGTGTACGGGAATCTGCCCCCTCGCCATAGAGATGCCTTTTAAGATTAGACAAATAAATTAAGCAATAATATTAGTGTCTGTATTATCGAGTGTCGATTACGACATTATTTTTATGGCAATAATTATATTCACTCTAGAATCAATGACGTCGTTTTTTTCGTGTGGTTTTGAAAGAAACATTGGTTGCATTTGTAGATCATGCAGAATAAACGTAGACTCTACTTCTATATCTACTACATTTGCCGCTAAACCTCAATCATGTAGATTGTGTTTCTATCAGACTTTTTATCTTCGTTGGGGGGCTGACACTGATTAAAGTATATATTTTATATATAGAAAATGTATTTTGTTCGGGGGAAGGGGGCGGTAGATGTTCTTCCGCGCATAGGGGAGGGGGGCTCTGCCCTCCTCCTAATGAAATGCCTGAAACAAACTCTACACGCAGACCCCTTTCAGGATATTAGAAAAATAAATGAAGTGGTAATGTCAGTATCTTAATTATCAAGTATATACGACGTCATTATTATTGTGTATTTTTTTTTGGGGCTTTTTAATTCTATGTTTGCTCTAGTATCAATGACGTCATATTGTTGTGTGTACTTTTCCGGCTTTAGATTATTCCCTATATGTTGCATGTGACGTCACGTTTCGTTTTTCTTTTTGACTGTGAAAGTTTTTACTTTGCTTGTGTTTTCTCTATATTGTTCATGGATGACAGATAAACAGACAGAGCAGAGGCGTAGCGAGGGGGGGGGGGGGCGGACCGCACGGGGTGACACCATTTGGGGGATGACACCAAGGCAAAAAATAACAATATACATAGAGAAAAATGATAATTCCACTTAATTAAGTGATTAAATCGAGTGTTAAATAGTATTTTAAGAGGAGCAAATCGAAAGTTTGAGGGTAGGGGGTGCAAATCGAAAGTTTGAGGGGGGGGATGCAAATCGAAAGTTTGAGGGGGGTGGTGCAAATCGAAAATTGAAAGTTTGTCCCATGGAAGGGTCGCTACGCCTCTGGGGGTGACACCATTAACTGCCTCGCTACGCCACTGATACAGTGTGACAGAATAGTGAAATATTATAGAAGATTTGAATAGTTATTAGCACAGCTATAAAATATAGATATTTGACAAAATATTCACCATCACTTACACTGTTCTTCGTCATAAGAATTCAAAGGTTACCTGAACGTTCTATTACATTCTAGAAATGTGTTTTAATTTGGTTAGGTCGTTATCAATCACTATTTTTAACCTAAAACCTAAAGTTAAAATCTAACAACTAAATATACCTAAACATGAAAATCAGAATGAAGACAGATAGCATTCAAAGCTAAGTTTAATACAAAGCTAAACTTAAAAACACGATAGCGATCTAATAATATATATTCTAGCTGTTATGTGGATAAACACAATTTTTGACAAAATGTTGACTCTAACCATAAGAATATGTTTTCTAAAAATTGTAGACCTAAATCTTTGTTTCACAACTTATACAGCATATAACATGCACACTTTCAGTTGTTTTAAAATAATCCCGTTTCTGGCGATAATTTTTAAATACTCCTCCGTTTTTAATTTTCCAAAATAGAGGTATGTTAATGTGTAAGTAAACTGACATGTGTCAGATTAAAATAGACTGGCAGATAATAAAAATGTCTGTACATACTTGCTTTACATCCGTAAATAGATAGCAACAACAGGATAATAGCTCTCATTGTGGACTGCTCTCTGGCCGTTGTTTGTAGAATCTTGTGGGTAATCAGTTTTCCGAATGACTCGTCAATAAAGAAAACGACTCTTTAAATAAAACACTGTTCAAACAAAAACAAAACAATTCAACGGCAATAAAGTATCCTGAAAACAAAATGGATACTGCAGTTAAGTCAGATGTCATTGATTTCATGGATATCTTCAAAACGTTTCTAACATAACATTTAATCATAAAATATATGTTAAACTTGACAGGTGATGGCGTGAGTTGGACGTGGGTGGAGAAGTTCGTTATGCACTCATCACCGTTTAGTGATTCTATCAATTCATAACTCATTGTTTTCATCAATACATAAGTTAGTGACTCTACTGACTCTACCAGCACGAGTCAGTGATTATATCTATACATGAGTCAGTGATTATATCTATACATGAGTCAGTGACTCTAGCAGTACATGAGTCAGTGACTCTACCAGTACATGAGTCCGTGATTATATCTATACACGAGTCATTGTTTTCACCAATACATAAGTCAGCGACTCTACCAGTAAATTAGTCAGTAATTCTGTCAATACATAAGCAAGGTATTCTATCAATACATTACTGATACTAATCATCACTGTAATATTAAATACGTAGAATTCAAAAATATGTTAAAGAAGAAATAAAAATATTGTTTTTAACTAAATTTAATAGACGTTGACTTAAAAAGTTAAAACTCTTTATTGATTTCAAAACGATTTTAAGGAAAAGTGTAACGGTCAACATCGCGAGGCAAGTTTTTGACTGAAATGAACCCCCAAGGGATTAGAAAAGTAAGCAGACCAAAGTAATCCTGGAGAAGAAAAGTGGAAGTCTTCTCATCCTGAAATTAAACGGCAAATGGAGGGGAGGGCTTTACATTAATGAGTCACCATGTAGGTATACACAATATAAGAGCTATTTAGATTTAAAATATAAATAGATACTTTCAACATAAAGAAACATGACGCTAAGCGGCTCTTCTGCACAAAAAGTTGCACTGTAATAGACATAGATCTATATTATCTTCACAATGTGAGGACAAGAGTGATAAAAGATGGCTACCAGCGGGTAACGACATATAGTGATATCTGTAAAGTGAGATATCGAGATAAATATAGTAATAAGGAGGCATATAGTGATATCTGTAAAGTGAGATATCGAGATAAATATAGTAATAAGGAGGCATATAGTGATATCTGTAAAGTGAGATATCGAGATAAATATAGTAATAAGGAGGCATATAGTGATATCTGTAAAGTGAGATATCGAGATAAATATAGTAATAAGGAGGCATATAGTGATATCTGTAAAGTGAGATATCGAGATAAATATAGTAATAAGGAGGCATATAGTGATATCTGTAAAGTGAGATATCGAGATAAATATAGTAATAAGGAGGCATATAGTGATATCTGTAAAGTGAGATATCGAGATAGTGATATAGTGAGATGACAAGAGAGGTGTAGGTGTAGGTGTAGGTGTAGGTGTAGGTGTAGGTGTAGGTGTAGGTGTAGGTGTAGGTGTAGGTGTAGGTGTAGGTGTAGGTGTAGGTGTAGGTGTAGGTGTAGGTGTAGGTGTAGGTGTAGGTGTAGGTGTAGGTGTAGGTGTAGGTGTAGGTGTAGGTGTAGGTGTAGGTGTAGGTGTAGGTGTAGGTGTAGGTGTAGGTGTAGGTGTAGGTGTAGGTGTAGGTGTAGGTGTAGGTGTAGGTGTAGGTGTAGGTGTAGGTGTAGGTGTAGGTGTAGGTGTAGGTGTAGGTGTAGGTGTAGGTGTAGGTGTAGGTGTAGGTGTAGGTGTAGGTGTAGGTGTAGGTGTAGGTGTAGGTGTAGGTGTAGGTGTAGGTGTAGGTGTAGGTGTAGGTGTAGGTGTAGGTGTAGGTGTAGGTGTAGGTGTAGGTGTAGGTGTAGGTGTAGGTGTAGGTGTAGGTGTAGGTGTAGGTGTAGGTGTAGGTGTAGGTGTAGGTGTAGGTGTAGGTGTAGGTGTAGGTGTAGGTGTAGGTGTAGGTGTAGGTGTAGGTGTAGGTGTAGGTGTAGGTGTAGGTGTAGGTGTAGGTGTAGGTGTAGGTGTAGGTGTAGGAGTAAGAGTAAGAGTAAGAGTAAGAGTAAGAGTAAGAGTAAGAGTAAGAGTAAGAGTAAGAGTAAGAGTAAGGGTAAGGGTAAGGGTAAGGGTAAGGGTAAGGGTAAGGGTAAGGGTAAGGGTAAGGGTAAGGGTAAGGGTAAGGGTAAGGGTAAGGGTAAGGGTAAGGGTAAGGGTAAGGGTAAGGGTAAGGGTAAGGGTAAGGGTAAGGGTAAGGGTAAGGGTAAGGGTAAGGGTAAGGGTAAGGGTAAGGGTAAGGGTAAGGGTAAGGGTAAGGGTAAGGGTAAGGGTAAGGGTAAGGGTAAGGGTAAGGGTAAGGGTAAGGGTAAGGGTAAGGGTAAGGGTAAGGGTAAGGGTAAGGGTAAGGGTAAGGGTAAGGGTAAGGGTAAGGGTAAGGGTAAGGGTAAGGGTAAGGGTAAGGGTAAGGGTAAGGGTAAGGGTAAGGGTAAGGGTAAGGGTAAAGGTAAAGGTAAAGGTAAGGGTAAGGGTAAGCGTACGGTTTGCTGGTGTGAGTTGTAGAACGATGGTTTAAGTGAACCAAATGATCGTTATCGATTTAGTGTGTGTGGGGTGAAGGTGTGTATGTGGGAGGGTTGATGGGAGGGGGAGATAATCCATGTCATTATTTACATCGTAGTGAATTGTCTTTTGTTTGTTAGCTAAGCCTGTTTTTATGACCGGCTGTTGTTGAACACACCAACATTTGTCCTACACTGTTAGATCTATACAACATACATTAGCAACTGTCCACTACACGGCACGCTGCTTACCTCATCCCCGCGCAGAAGAGTGGGTGTATAGCAAGCAAACATCAAATATTCGATTACATCCCACTCATTTCGTCAGAAAAAAAACACTTTGATTTGAAGTGTACGTCATATGACTTCTGTATTGACGTGCGTCGTTTTACAGAAGCTAAAATCAGCCTTTGAAGAAATAATTTTAACGACAGTGTAATGAAGCGATGCAGTTAATCTTCTTAAGTCCCCCTAGATCTAACAACAACATGTGTTGTTTTCTTGTCTACGCCGGCTTTTTGACATTCGCAGATGTGCACTTACATTCCCTCACATCTCCTCTCAATCAACTCTGGTTGTTATGTGGTTGCCCGGTCAAGTAATATGTGGTTGTCTTTGGCTGTGTCGTCAAATGATGTAAGGTTTATAGGTGATTTTGTCATCAAATCAACTCTTGTTGTCATGTGGTCGTGTCTTTAGACAAGTGTGGTTTGTATGAGGTTGTGTCTCTAGACCAAATGTGGTTTGTATGTGGTATTGTCTCTAGACCAAATGTGGTTTGTATGAGGTTGTGTCTCTAGACCAAATGTGGTTTGTATGTGGTATTGTCTCTAGACCAAATGTGGTTTGTATGAGGTTGTGTCTCTAGACCAAATGTGGTTTGTATGTGGTATTGTCTCTAGACCAAATGTGGTTTGTATGAGGTTGTGTCTCTAGACCAAATGTGGTTTGTATGTGGTATTGTCTCTAGACCAAATGTGGTTTGTATGAGGTTGTGTCTCTAGACCAAATGTGGTTTGTATGTGGTATTGTCTCTAGACCAAATGTGGTTTGTATGTGGTTGTGTCTCTAGACCAAATGTGGTTTGTATGTGGTTGTGATGAAAGGGAAAATCTGGCTAACTTCAAATCGACTGCGGTTTGAGTGTGTGTGATGGGGTGGGTGGGTGGTAAAACATTTGATGTGTGTGGGGGGCAAGTTAACCTTTTGATGTGCGTGTGTGGGGGGGGGGGGGTAAAGTCTTTGTAGATCTATATTGATGAATCAATCATTTAATGAATCATTATTGAAAATTTTTTTTCACAAACTTTTGTTTGTTTATGACCATAATTACACTTGAACCTAATCATCTCTAATCACTCCCATAATTCAGCTTATCGTCTACCCACCCCTACAGTTAAATCTGCAGTGTACCCACCCCTACACTTTAATCTGCAGTCTACCCACCCCTACACTTTAATCTGCAGTCTACTCACCCCTACACTTTAATCTGCAGTCTACCACTCCTACACTTTAATCTGCAGTCTACCCACCCCTACAGTTAAATCTGCAGTGTACCCACCCCTACACTTTAATCTGCAGTCTACCCACCCCTACACTTTAATCTGCAGTGTACCCACCCCTACACTTTAATCTGCAGTCTACCCACACCTACACTTTAATCTGCAGTCTACCCACCCCTAGAGTTAAATCTGCAGTGTACCCACCCCTACGGTTTAATCTGCAGTCTACCCACCCCAATAGTTTAATCTGCAGTGTACCCACCCCAATAGTTTAATCTGCAGTCTACCCACCCCAATAGTTTAATCTGCAGTCTACCCACCCCTACAGTTAAATCTGCAGTGTACCCACCCCAACAGTTTAATCTGCAGTCTACACACCCCTACACTTTAATCTGCAGTCTACACACCCCTACAGTTTAATCTCTAGTCTACCCACCCCTACACTTTAATCTGCAGTCTACCCACCCCTACGGTTTAATCTGCAGTCTACCCACCCCTACACTTTAATCTGCAGTCTACCCACCCCAATAGTTTAATCTGCAGTCTACCCACCCCAATAGTTTAATCTGCAGTCTACCCACCCCTACACTTTAATCTGCAGTCTACCCACCCCTACACTTTAATCTGTAGTCTACCCACCCCTACACTTTAATCTGCAGTGTACCCATCCCTACACTTTAATCTGCAATCTACCCACCTCTACACTTTAATCTGCAGTCTACCCACCCCTACACTTTAATCTGCAGTCTACCTACCTCTACACTTTAATCTGCAGTCTACCCACCCCTACACTTTAATCTGCAGTCTACCCACCCCTACACTTTAATCTGCAGTCTACCCACCCCAATAGTTTAATCTGCAGTCTACCCACCCCTACACTTTAATCTGCAGTCTACCCACCCCAACAGTTTAATCTGCAGTCTACCCACCCCTACACTTTAACTTAACGTCTACCTACCCCTAAACACACCTTTTTGATCATCTCCATAGGTATTGCATAGTTACATATACCAAATGTCAATGGGGACATGACAATACGTTCCCTTATCGTGCAAAGTATGACTAGACTAAAAAAACAACAAATTAAAGCTTATGTAGGACTCCATGACTAAATTTACATGTAGTGTTCAGTCAAACAATCAACCAATCGTCTTTCAACCCCTTGGGTCTCCCAGGCACCTTAGTTTATTTTCTCATACATTTCTGCCACCCTACTCGGTCCTCTGCTGCTGTAAGTAGTTAGGTGACCTTGATGACCTCCATTTAATGACGTCTTTGCCTTTCTCGTCTCTCTCTCCTGGCACCGTGCCCTGCATGATTGTTATAATTGTCCGTTGGCTCGTGTGGCATGACCACACCCCGCCCATACCATCTCAGTGTCCTAGTTTGATCCTTTCAAGAACCTCTTCATATCTCATTCGATCTCTGTATGAAATCGTTAGGTGTATGCGTCAATCGGTTCCATACTTCAAAGAGAAGAAATTCACGGTCGAGGAAATTGAGAGCGAGATAGATTGTTAACGAGATACCCTCAGAGCTCTGTTCAGTTGTTAACCCCGTATCCTGACGATGATTCTGTTCTACGTCGTTGCGCACCAGCCAGTGCGAATATTGATCGAGATACAAACTCATTAAATCTCAGACCATAAAACAAACCAGGCTTAAGAACGTAGACGTAATTACAAGAATTGTAGCTAGCAGTCACTGATATATGTCCAAGTACCTCCAAATTTTCTATATACAGACGTTATAAAACGAGGTACCTATAGCAACATATTTCGCTGTTTATCCAAACTAGACATGTACGGTTATGCTGAATGTATATCAAATAAAAACAGTAAACGGAGAAGAAAAATTGGTGTATTCAAGATTGACAAATTATTATAATTAATATATAATAGTTAATTCTTCTGTTCTGTTTATGGGAAAATACCCAAACTCTAACTTCATTTTTAGAACATTTTTCAATACAAATAAATAACAAATTTAGTTTTTTAATTGGCATTCAAAGAGTCTTAGTTTGTTTTTGCTTTCAATTGTTTAAGTCGGTTTTCCAATACAACATCTTATTTTTCATTTTAAAAATTCTACTAATTTTATTCAGTCTAAATGTAAATGTATATTGATGTGTGTGTGTGTGTGGTGGATGTGTGTGTTTTGTGTGTTTGTTTAGTGTGTGTGTGCGTGCGTGTTTGTGTATAAATATATATATATATATATATATATATACATAAATAAATATATATATATACACGAGTGTATGTGTGTCTGTGTGTGCGTGCGTGCGTGTGTGTGAGATTGTGTTTGTGTGTGTGGTGGATGTGTGTGTTTAGTGTGTGTGTCTAGTGTGTGTGTGCGTGCGTGTTTGTGGATATATATATATATATATATATATATATATATATATATATATATATATATATATATATATATATATATATATATATATACATACCCGAGTGTATGTGTGTCTGTGTGTGCATGCGTGTGTGTGAGTGAGTGAGTGTGTGTGAGCGTGTGTATGTGTGTGTAACCATCTGTATTTATTTTGTCAAACTCTTGAAATCTGGGACATTGATTGATCAACGTCTGTAAGGCGCTACAGTATTTAGACTGACCGCTGTATTTTACGGACATCGGACACGATTTCCTGTCACACACCTACATGAAACCTAGTTAAATATGAATGAGACCCGAGATTTTCACCCAGTTTCTCTAGTTTTGCTAATGCACGTGAGGCATAATTATGCAACCAGATTACAATATCCATTCATGTGTTTACTCATTTCCAGTGTTTATTGGTCCGTGATAAAATTATTACGGGTGAATTTCAAACCAGACCCTTTTATAATATTACAGAGAAAATATTAATTCAAGCTTCACTTGTTTTGACAAGCACATTGTTGTCAAATCTACATATTCTAGAGATAAAGAGATGGAAAAAAGGGTTTCGTAAGCTCACAATTGATTGCCATTTGTGCCGAGGTTTCTGCGGGCAGTTTTACCTTGATTGATAGCATAAGCTGTCGCTGTCTTAGGTTCTGTTAGCACAAAATTTAGCAGAGTTTTCATGAAAAGTTGTATTCGTTTGAAAGTGAATATTTATTTTTTCTTGCAGAGAAAATAGAAGTGTATAATGTGGATGTCAAGCTTACAAACACTATGTGCAATAGCAGCTTTCGTGTTGAATATTTACCATCTTTACTCAGGTATTATCGTTTCTACTGTATTTACATTACGTGTTATTTAATGAGAGACACAACAGTATGTTTTTATTCTGCACAATTATAACTATTCTAGGACAATACTTATTAATAAACTTTACCTCGAAAAACAAAAAAAAGACATTGAATCAAACTACGTCCACCACGTCATGTGCTAATTAGTACCTTATAACACCTCTATACTAACTGCCTTTGATCGTAAATAAATTAAGAATGAAATGTTTGTACATCAGTCTTAAATAGAAGTAGGCCTATCTACTTTCAAGTATTGTGAAAATCAAACAATGTTGAAATGTTGAAAACATTACAATTTTGAGCGCAATATTAATTTCTATTTTCATATTAAGAACACTTATATTTTTGTTAGCAAAACCATAAAACACTGTACGATTCCTCCTACAGCTGAGGTTAGAGAGTTTGACTACACGACATACGACACCAGCAAGATCATGATACTACAGCTCGGCCTACAGTACAGCATTGAGTCGGAGACCCTGTGTGCCATGCAATGTAAAAATGTCAACATGACGTGCTATGGTTTCAGCTACAACGTTGACAACAAACTTTGTTCGTTAGGTACGTAATACAAACTTACACGTATTTTCATGAACAATTTAAACTGACGAGGTTTTTTTTTTTTTATAAAAGTTTTAATATTGCATATTAAAGTTTAAAACCCATAAAATGTATATACAATAGGGGTCGGCGTGGTCGAGTCGGTAAAGCTCATGGTTGCTAAACCGATATGTCTCGAGCTCGAACCCTCGGACAGATGAAGCTCGTTAGCTGGCGACAGCCACTCTACTAGGAGAGACAACTCCAAAATCAAACAACTGCTGCCTTGTAGTTTGTTCTTGGTTGGACAAAGGCTATGGAAGCAAATCCAAAAAGAAAAGCAGGCTGAAATCGGAGTCAATCCTTAATTGTGTTGGAGGGGGATCTATTCCGACACTAAAATTGAGAACGAAGAAGAAGAAGCCTATACAATATGATTCAGCTCCTTGCACGACAATTTGGTTTAAATTTCCGTAGAAAGTGAGAAAATGATACTTTAGTTTTTGACAGCTAATTACTTTTTTCTTTTCTTCAGGCTCTTGGCTGGTACCCAACAACGGCAGCGGACCACGGGAAAACCTGTTCTCCCTGGGGCCGTTCTGCAACACGACAGCCAACGTGACCTTGCAGCCAGACGGCGACCTAACCTCTTGTGACAAATACGCATGCTCAGGTAAGTTGTGTGTGGGTCAAAGGGGCCTGAAGAAAAGTTATTTAGTACGTTAGAAGAGACGGTAGAAATAAAATAAACGAAGACAAGTGAGGACCTATTTTTGATTAATATAATTTTTGAAGATTTCTGAAAAGAACGTATCCTCACTATTGTTCGTTTCTGTCATTCACATTCCAGCTCACCAAGTCAGTGTCGGCAAGAACACGATAGTCGAGAACATTCCACGTTACAAATCGTGCAGTGACGTCACAAACCCAACGAGCCCGCGTCAACTGATCCGGCTTTACAACGGTCTAGTCGTCATGTGCGACACAGTTACTGACGGTGGCGGATGGACCATTTTCCAAAGACGCATCACCGGAGATTTGGGGTTTAATCGGAACTGGGCGGAGTATAAAGAGGGGTTTGGGGACTACGGGGACGGGGAGTTCTATCTTGGGAATGAAAACATCCACTGTATGACAAGTAACGGGGTGTACAACATGAGGACGGACGTGAAGTGGCTGGGTAACGACTACGCCTTCAACTTCACCGGATTTCGTTTAGCCAACGAGTCAAAGAACTACGCCTTCATCGTGTCCTCCGCGAGCCCACTGGTCTACGGCAACCACAACAACTCCTTGTTTTCCACCTACGACAGAGACAACGACCCTGGCACAAAAAGCAGCTGTGCCCTGGCCTTCAAGACCGCCTGGTGGTACTGCGCAGGGTGTCAGCACTTCAACCTCAACGGCGTGTGGGGTCAGACCGGCGTCTATGGGGTCTACGCCAAGACGCTGTCTTTTGAAAGTGGTATCAACTTCACCGAGATGAAATTTAGACCTGGTTAATTTCTTATCAGATCAGATAAGGCTCGTTAGCTGGGACAGCAACCCGACTAGTAGAGAAAACTCCAAAATCAAACAACTGCTGTCTTGTAGTTTGTATTTATATTCGCGCTTAGGTTTCGTTTGCGTTATTGTTTGCATTATTACGTTTATGATTGCATTTAACTGTTTGTATATTTTTGCGTTGATGATTGAATTTATATTTGCGTTTATGTTTGCGTTTATGTTTATGCTTATGCTTGCGGTTATTGTAATGCTTACATTTGCGTTTGCGTTTATGTTTGCGTTTATTTTTATGTTTAATTCACAGAAATTTGCTAGGACAGATTAATTTTAGCAGTATGATCATGGCATTTTGTGTGTTTGTATGTAAAAATAAAAAGTTATAAATTTAATTACGTACACCGCATCCATCTAGGAGAGAAAACTTTAAAATCAAATAGTAGTTCAGCCCCTTACGCGATATTTTTAAAATCTCTGGTTTCCTTTCGGCAGCTTCTGCGACATTGTGATTCCAATTAGTCTAGGTAACGTCCTGTCTCTTGGCTCCATCAGCGGTGTGAAAGAGAGGGGGGTCTGATACATGGGCAACATCTAACTCCTCTAATCTAACTGCCCAAGCATTTTCTTGGATTTTCAATGCACAATCGTGAAATGGTCCGTTTGACTATGTTGCTGTCATTTATTTTGATCACATATGAAATATTTCTTCTAATCCTCAAAATCGCGCATAGCTGAAAGACGTTTATTATGCTTATTAATTAATTTAACTGATTTAACTGACAAAACTAAAAAGACAGTTTAAATAACTAGCGACTCCATTTACCAACGGAAACCAATCTATCAACTAAATTGTGCAACATAAACTATGTTCTCAATGGACTCCATTCATATTCCTTTCCAACACACATATATACACATACCAAATACACACACATACACACATGATCTACCTACCACGCTTTTCGTTGCAATCAAATTACCTGCAATGTTAAAAAAGGATGGTATTAAAATTATTTCTTGTTCATATTTTACTATTTTTCATGAATAAAATGGTGTAGTCTATATTAATGTAAGGATCTAATGATGCACGTACTTGGTTACGATATACGTCACCAGGTCGCAGCGATGTGGTTAATTTTAGCCAGGAGTTCTCACACTTTTACGATAAGTCAGCCCTAAATGTTGTATTAAAATATCTATAGTAAGAAATGTTGTAAAATTAAATTAAATACAATTGTCAAAACTATATTTGATTGTGTGACACCACAGATGAATTTCAAGTACAGCTTTGACGTTTGTTGATATTTTTGGCTCATTGAGTTGAGTGTAAAATTAACAAGTATACAAGGCTGTTGTACGAATCTAAAAGATCGATATTCGATTCAAATAATACAAACGATCATTATTTATTAATAGTGCGAACCATTAATTAGAAAAATACGCTAATATAAATTTAAAAAAAACACTAACCCAACACTTATAAGCCAAAACAGAAATTAGTACCATCAGGTGGATGCCAAAACACGACCAATAGCATCGCTCGTGTGTGGGGGGGGGGGGGGGGGGATGAGTTGTCACGGTTTTGGATTCACTGATTCCACCTTGGGCATAACAGTTGTATTTTTCTTCCTTTTGACCTCATTTATAAAACTTAAACTTATTCCCGGACACCGTTAGGGTGACACCGCCCTACTGAGCTAATGGCATTCACCCTTTTCACAAACCACCCACCTAACGTCAATAGAAAGTACCCCCCCCCCCCCCCCACACCCCCACAAGTCAGTAATTTATGGAAATGTTTTATTTTTTTTCCGGGCAACAAAAAAAAACTTTGGCCTATAAAACAGATATGATAAAATATCAATGTCCGCAGTGAACACAATAATGAACCAATTAATTGATATATATGCCTCCGTGTCTTCTTGTATACATGTAATGACGTTTTTATTTTAAGAGAAAGGTATGAGGGCGGAGCTGTAATGCTCGAATGCGAAAGGGAGGAGAGGGTCGTGATGCTGGCCCCACAACACCTTCCCCGTACCACCACCACCCAACAAAATACGAATCAACATCCTACCACCCACACCTTAACTACTCCCTACCACCACCATCATAACAACCACACCTTACCCAGCCCATACAACTTAAATCCTACAATCTTGTTTACGAATAAACTGCGCTGTTAAAAACGAGAGGCCTACATACACGATAGACCCTCAACGATAGTTAACATAAAACCTATTCAACAATTAATTTTCAGAGCGTGTCCTTATAAGTGCAGCAGTTCTCGTCTTGTTTTTGAACTATTTGTAAAGAATATGTAACTTAAGGCTTCACAAAAACCACAACGTAATACAAATTATAGGTTATAGTTTTTCTTTACAGTGTTGTAGCTGGTTCTTTAAAACACTGCAGTAATCAGAGTTATCCTGAATCTACTAGAATGAAGTTGTTTATTTTGTTTATGTGTTTACCTGTTGCTCTGTCGGGTAAGTTGCATTTTATATCCATAATAGTATCGCGGTGTGAGTTCATCGTTTGAACAGAAGCGTTGTGTGAGTTATGTTTTAATTTGAAAAGCCGTATTTACTCCTGTAAAATTGTCAAATACGACTATCGGACAGAGTGTTCGAGCGATAGGGCGCACAACTGCCAACCGGATATCACCAAGTTCGATTCCTGCATTGAAGTCCTTAAGACGTCTGTTAATTCCGCCTAGCCCTAATGGGTACTGAAAGGATTTGTAAATAAGAAAGCGTTTAATTATACTCGTTAAATGGGTTTACTAGTAGGTAATAGAAACTCGAGTACAAACAGTTTCAAGCTGACAATAAGGAAATAGGATATTACAGCACAAGGCCATGTTAAACAATTTCATAAATCTTTTAAAAAAAGTGATCTCCCCTAAACTTTCTCGAATCCAAATATATAAAACCCCACGTTCGCACCTCTCTCTCTCTCTCTCTCTCTCTCTCTCTCTCTGTCTGTCCGCAAAATATTTTCGCCGGACATCACGTCAGAATCGGCAGCGATATATGGATACCTTTATACGGACTTTTGTTGAAAATAATATGTTAGATGTTTTAAATGTATAACCACAATTTTATTTAAAGAAGAAAAATAAAAATTAAAGGCGTATTCGAATGTAGAGAAACAATATTATTTATGCAACCGGAAAAGCATTAATAGATGTGAAAAAGAACGCATAAAACTGTGATGTCACTATTGCTTATACATTAACTAATGACGTCATCTGCCGTGTTTAGAATAAAAAGAAATGAACTATTTCATTCAAATTTGATTTAGATCTACGTACACTATGAAATGTATACAATACAATTTTTCCGGCCTAAACTCATAAAATTTATTTTATTTATTTGGATTCTAGATCTAGATATTCTAGATTCTAGATCTAGACTAGATCTAAATCTACGCAATAACTATTAACTAGACGTAGACGCAAAGATCTAGATTTAGACTCTAATTACTCTAGAACTATTCCAAAAATAAATTTCTATATTAGGACTAAACTATTTCAAGACTTAATTATTTTATACAAAATCTTTGTTTGGAACTGGCTAATTTGGGATAAAAAAATTAATTTGAAAGAATAAGCATATTCGCGTAAGTTAAGATTTTAAAATACCTCTTTCATTCTCCGAGTTTTGTAAGATGCCTTAATAGCTGAGATGATAGTGTACTTAAAACCACGCAGGTGGTGCGGGTTTGACACACACCAAGTCATACTTGGTTTTTTATTTTTTTTTATTTTGCTCGGGTTAAACTTAAAAAAAAATTCTATTAGGATTCTAGATCTAGATATTCTAGATTATCTAGATCTAGATATTCTAGATCATCTAGATCTAGAGATTCTAGATCATCTAGATCAGGGGTCTCCAAACTTTTCAGTCCGAGGGCCGCATTAACTATCAAATATCAGTTCGGGGGCCAGAGTTTCTTCAAAACATCTCTTCGGGGTGGTGACGCCATCCCCCCCCCCTAAACGAAATATAATTTATATAGAAATATATAAAAATTTCAAGTGCCCCCCCCCCCCCGGAGAAGAAAAAGTCTGAAAGAAACACTGTCGGGGGCCAATAACACACTCGAGGTACAAGTTTGCTCTCAAATTGTTCTTCACGTATTTCATTCTTGAAAATATTTGTCCACACAGATATATTATTCCAAAATTTGAAAGGTACTTTGATGCAAAAGTTTTAATATTAGGAAAATCTTCCTTTTGAAAAACTTATAAAAACCCACCCGCCCTTCTGTAAACGTGTCTCTAACGACCTCCAGCTGCAGCTCATCTTTGCAACTGGCCACATTTGCTTCAAATGGGTTCTGAAACTGTCTTAACTTCTTCTGCCTTTGAATCCAAGTCAGAAAACCAGGAAGTCACCTATTTCCTTTTTTAACTTAAATGTTCTGCTCAGAACTTTCTCGCAAATTAGCCATCTTACTGCCGTGCAATATGGTAAATCTTGCGATTCTGGTTTTGTATCTTTCAACATGTCTCTGAACTATCTATGGTTAGATATCCTCTTCGGTAACAGTGCTATACATTTTACGTAGGGAAGCCAGCTCTTGTGTTATGTTTATGCCTTCATCCTCACCTCTGATGAACACAAGGAGTTGAGATGTGGAACAGCTGTCCAGCGACTCATCCATTGCAATTGAAAAATGGCGAAACTTACTTGCATTTTTCGCTATTTGAGTCACGATGTTTTCACCAATGTCTGCAACACGGCAGGCAAGGGTATTTGCACCCACAGCTATATTTTCAAATTGTTTCGAATTTATTTTCTGGGCAAAGGTCCTCAGCTACCCTAACAAACATTAATTCCATGGACAAAAAGATCGCCGCGGGCCGGATTAGAGGACCTCGCGGGCCGCATGCGGCCCGCGGGCCGTAGTTTGGAGACCCCTGATCTAGATCTAGAGATTCTAGATCTAGATCTAGATGATCTAGATCTACGGAAAAACAAGACTTACACAGA